GTGACCTCGATGTAGTAAAATTATGTATTATCACAGTTTCAGGCTGATGCTATAAAGATATGTATTATCACCTCACAGCTCCTATTTCTTCTAATATTTAACTGTGTAGTTTTACGCGATCATACTGGAAAAACCTCGTTATTAGAGATTAAGTTCGGGTCTTGTTCAATTCCTGATCAGGATTAGGTCCTAATTAAACTTAGTTTCCTGATCCAAGTTATACCCTGTTAAGTTCCTGAATTCCTTAAAGTAACTAACGTATAGTTATAATAATGCGCAGATCACAGCACGGTACAGAGAAAAGAAGTCTCACACTTAAACTGGAGAATCATAATTTGATGGATTAATTAGTCTTTAAGTTTAAAATACGTTAGTGCTATTATTCTTAAGCCTAGCGTATCCTTGTGGATAACGAGCGAGTCGATACGTCTGAACTGCGAAATACGTTCTGTACTTTCTGGCAGTTTCAGCGTTATAAATGTGACATTCAGCACCACTATTCGGGTAAAAAGCAAACTAATTTTTCTGAATTATTTATCTAGTTATTAAAAGCAAACGAAGTCTAAATCCAAAAGAATAAATATTTGTTTGCTAATCATATGGTCAAACTGTTCGTTTATAGGACTTATTGCTTAAACACTAAGGAACTATACTTTAAAGAGAAATTTTTTTGTAAGTTCTGGACAAATTAACGAATACTGATTGCGTTAGTTCAATCTGAGCAATAGGTTTATCGGCCTCCTTCGATACTTGTGTTTATATAGTGTACATTTATAGTTTCCCTTCTTGTATATTAGTTTCTACAGTTCATTATAACTACTTAGTTTCGGTAGAAAAACAGAAAATAAAATTTAATTGGTGTTACGTTTTTTCAACAAATTGTACCTGTAGTGTTACATAATAGCCCACGCGTGCGTGGGAGGATGGAGGGGGCGTAGTATTACTCGTAAATAAAACGTGTACACGTTTCTTGCTAGTGAAAACATTTCCAGAAAAGTAACTTTCATTTAGAAACATTTACCATACCTTCACATTTCTCCGTAAGATTGTTAAATAATATTTGTTTTAAAACATAAGTACGTAATTGGTTATCGATATCAGGGACTCTGCCAGGACTACAGAGTTGGTGGAGAGATGTGGGTATTCCCCCCCAAAAAAAATTTGTGTCCCTTCTACAAAAAGAATTTAAGAGACTTGCATAAAAGTCAAATTTATTAAAAGACTGTAATGGACTTTAAAATTTTGAGGTGGTCATTCGACCCCCTAGGCTACGACCTTGCATATATATTTTGTTGTCGAATATATAAAAAAAAAAAAAAAAAAAAGTTAAGAAGAGGGGAGGATTAAGTTCGCTCTCAAAAAATATACTGGCCATGAAAAATACTCAGTTTCTGTGTTAGGTACAATGGATAGTGATTACTTATCAATTGTTAGTGGTATAAGAGTGTTGTGTTTTTGAATCACTGAAGTATACAAGATCTGCCTGAGGAGGAGACCGGTACAAAAATTAAATTAGTACCCAAATGGGCCAGCGGTAAGTTTACGGACGATTCTTCGTGAAGGATAGAGCGAAAATAGCCTTTGTTGTATCTTTGCGCTAAAACAAACGCAGAAATAAGCCATGAATAAAACAGAATTCCAACAGGATAAGTGTAGACTTTTTATTTAATTGATTTATTAAATACGTTTTGATACCATGTTTATTCGGAGACATTTTTATAATCAAGTAATTTAATTATGTTTGAATGTACTCTTCAAAAAGCTTGTGACATGCGCAGAAGAAGGTGACCGTATTGGAAAGGGTTAAATAATCATGTTCTCTTCTGCGTGACTTGATTCAATTTTACTACCTCTGTTTTGTACTTATATGTCGTTTCATTCCTCTAACCTTGACTTGTCATGTACACAAGAGGAAGAAAAAAGCTGAATTTACGAAATCTCACTTTGCTATACAGATATGGGAAATGACTCACACATTCAAATCATGGAAATATAAGTTCTGTCGGACGTTGTGTCGTGTAACATGAGAATGTCTGCACATTTTGGACTTCTCATTCAGGCGACTCGTATGACAGGAGGGTCGGGGCAGTCACAGTAACAGTTCCTTCGATAAAGATGCTACTTTGTAACCATATAAGGAGGACTGTAACATGCAGTTACAAAAGTTCATGCACGAGCATTACAAGCTAAGGCAAAACGTTTATCTTTTTCTTCCGTCTGTTTTTGTCCTCTCGCTCTTCCTCCTCTCTCTCTCTTTCTATTATTATTTTTATCTTCCATTCTTTTTTTTTAACACAAAAAAGTTTATGACTGCAGAAAAATTAACCAACCATGCTTCAGCGCGAGGTTTGAGTTCGAGGCTAAGCTGCTGATTGGGTGTTCTTCGAGACTTGGGAGGGGGGGATTGTATGGGGGGTAGTACTGCTATCCTAGCGGCAGATGCTAAAGATAGCACCCTTGCCGACTTGCCAACACGAGGAAACAGTTGACAAATTCAGTTACGAAGGTAAGTGATTTTCGAGTTTTGTCACATTTTCAGAGCCCACACATGATCAGCACACTTTACATGTATATTTGCATGTGTCTATTGGTTGTTTGAAAAATGGCGTGCGCTTCCGGTGTCAGGCTTTAAAGTATGGCATTGATTTAGTGGAAACTTAAGTGGTAGCTTGTAAAGACTGCGCAGCAACTTACTGATCAACCTCTTTTCTTATCTTAATACTAACGCACAGTTCCTGTAGACTAACAAATAGTATTGTTTCAGGAGCAACTACTCAAGCGTTGATTTTACAGAGAAGTATAGTACAATGTCTTCCAAAATAAGCATTAGCTAAACTTCTAGTTCATTATTAAGAAGGTGAATTTAAAACGCATTCAGAATTGTAATAAGGGCAGTTTACGTGTGAATAAATAAATTACTTTTTATAAGTAATAATTTCATGGATTAAAAAAATGTTTGAAAAAATAAAAATAATTTAATAAATTGTTCGCTTTTCACGTGGGCGAAATTGCGTCTTTCAGTAACAGCTGCGTGATTTTTTGTATTTTTTCTATTTGATTAGGGCGCTCGACTCGCAATCTGAGGATCACGAGTTCGAATCCCCGTACCACCAAACATGCTCGCCCTTTCGGCCGTGGGGGGGGGGGCGTTATAACGTGACTATTCTTTGGTAAAAGAGTATCCCAAGAGTTGGCGGTGGGTGGTGATGACTAGCTGTCTTCCCTCTAGTCTTATTTCGGGGGGAATTAGACCGTGTTCCGAAGTATTAAAATACTGCATCGAATAAGGGATTAGAAATAGTTTTTTCCAGAATATTCAGTGTGCGTGATAAAGCATTAAAATAGTGCGTCAGATTAAGAAGAATTAGTCTGTGTTACAAAGCATTAAAATAGTGCGTCATATAAGGGATTAGGAATCGGTTTTCCAGAACATGTTGACAGTTTGTGTGCTAAATCATTAAAATACTACATCGGATTAAGGATTAGAAATAGGTTTTCAGGAAGAATTAGTCTGTGTGTCATAAAGCATTAAAATAGTGCGTCGGATTAGTGATTATTAATCGGTTTTCCAGAATATTTTGACAGCTTGTGTGACAAAACATTAAAATACTATATCGTATTGAGGATTAGAAATAGGTTTTCAGGGAGAATTAGTCTGTGTGTAATAAAGCATTAAAATAGTGCGTCGGATTAGTGATTAGGAATCGGTTTTCCAAAATATTTGACAGATTGTGTGACAAAACATTAAAATACTATATCGTATTGAGGATTAGAAAGCGGTTTTCAGGAAGAATTTGACAATTTGTCGAATAATCAGAAGAGGGATGTTGGTGGCGCACTACAGAAGTAAACTGTGTTTAAAACGCTCACGTTTATTACTCTGCATCCTTCCAGTTTGTCGTGAAGAATGAAGTGCAACAAATATGATAAAAATCACAAATGTCGCTTACTTTTAGATTGTAAATCTATCTACGTGGACACCAGCGTCCAGAAAGATGTCCGTTGGAAATTTAACATATATTAGGTATATCTTTAAATGAAAAGAGAACTAACGACGACAAAAAAAAACAAAACAAATGTGGGTGAAATGTCAATATAAACTTATTTTGCGTTTATACGAAGCCATTTCGTTCTTCTGCATTTGAAATGCCGAGCCTGTACACGTTAACTTTTAAGCAACTGGCAAGCAACCCGAAACCTGAGATATGCCATAAACTCGACCTCGTGCTTTTAGATGAAGTAACTGATGTAATTTTTCTATATATACAGTTCCCATCTGAAACGGCGCCTGTGTAAGTTAATTCAAATTGTTGACTAGTGTGATACCCCTGACTTGACATGTTACGATAAATGTCATTTAGTTTGCCTGTTGACTAGTGTGATACCCCTGACTTGACACGTTACGGTAAATGTCGTTTACTTTGTCTGTTGACTAGTGTGATACCCCTGACGTGAAACGTTACGGTAAATGTCATTTAGTTTGCCTGTTGACTAGTGTGATACCCCTGACGTGAAACGTTACGGTAAATGTCATTTAGTTTGCCTGTTGACTAGTGTGATACCCCTGACTTGACACGTTACGGTAAATGTCGTTTAGTTTGCCTGTTGAATAGTGTGATACCCCTGACGTGAAACGTTACGGTAAATGTCGTTTAGTTTGCCTGTTGACTAGTGTGATACCCCCTGACTTGACACAGTCGATCCCATTATTTGGTTCAAATAACCGGAAAAAAACCCTTGTGGTGGCGGGTGACGCTGGCTTGCTGCCTTCCACCTGGTCAGTAGTTCAAAATTAATCATGGCTATATCTGAATTCCAGCAGTCACTTAATGATTTGAAAATATTTTGAAAGAGAACATACATAAAAATCTTTTTAAAGTTCATTTCTATAGTTTTCTCGGTCATATCCTTAAAAATAATATGATTGTACTAGGCACGTGGAACCTGTCAGCTTCGCTAAAAAAAAAAGAAGAAATAATGCCATGCCCCATTTTTCTTTTTTTTTACGTAAACCCTACGGTGGCAAGCCTGAGGGCTTATAACGCTTAAAATCTGGTTTCGATACATGCGGTTGGTACACAACACATGTATAACAAATACAAAAATATGTAAGTTGACGAATTTGTGTTAATGACGTCAGTAAGACGCATGCGCATGACTTACACTAACCCTGCCCGTTTTTATAATACGGTATAACCTACTGAAGTTACGAATAAAATAACTGACAATTTCTCGATATTGTGACCAAAATAAAATATCAGTACAGTAACACTTTATGAGAAAAGAAAATGCATGTAGGACCATCATAACACCAGCTTTAATCAAACATTTAATTGTTTTAAATGTCGCCATGCCAGTTTGATCAAGTATCTAAGGAAAGTTGTTTTAAATGTCGCCATGCCAGTTTGATCAGGCGTCTAAGGAAAGTTGTTTTAAATGTCGCCATGCCAGTTTGATCAGGTGTCTAAGGAAAGTTGTTTTAAATGTCGTCATGCCAATTTGATTAAGTATCTAAGGAAAGTTGTTTTAAATGTCGTCATGCCAATTTGATTAAGTATCTAAGGAAAGTTGCTTTAAATGT